GTTCTTTCTGCTTTAGACCCCGTGTGATAAGGTCCTTGCTCTAGGTCACCCAGTGGGTTTCCATGGTCAAGTGGGAATCAAACCTTAGTCTCCATAGTCATAGTCCAATGCTCATACAACTACAAATACCATAGCCCAATGCTCACACCATTACGCATACCAGTACCATCAATAGAGTCTCTCAACAATAGATGTCTCTCACTTTTATTCATTTACCTCCCCCCCCCCATATGGATTTTTCTTGTTTGTTTCCCTCACCACCTCCTCCTCCTCTATCCTTCCTCTTCTTATTCTTGGCCTTCACAACTCCAATCAAATGCTACTATCTATCTAGAATAATTAGTCAGAAGAAAAGGAAGTATAGATTCTCTCATTAAAGAAGATCCATATTTTGAGAAATCAACAGGGATATATATCTTAGACTGGAGCACTTCATCACCTCTGTTGTTGTTGTTGTTGTTGTTGTTGTTTACCTTCAAGTTGTTTTCAATTTATGGCATCCTTAAGGCAAACCTATCATGAGTTTTTCTTTTCAAGTTTCTTCAGAGGAGTTTGCCATTGTCATCCTCTGAGGCTAGAGAGTGTAATATGCCCAAGGACACTGACCCAGGTTTGGAAGTCTGGTCTCCAGAGTCATAGTCCAATGTTCAAACCATTATACTTCTCACCTCTTTTGGATCATCTTATTCCCAGGGTCAGGCAGGATCTATTTTATGGTGTCAATGTCCTAAGTCAAACTGTTTCCCAGAGGATATAATGGTTAGATTAAAACTAGGAAGACTTGTTCAAATCCTCAATCATTCATTACGCTTACTGGGTGACTTTAGGCCATAATCTACTTCACAGAGGTGGAGAGAGGGATAATAAAATAAGCTTCTTAGAAAAAGTTTGTAATTAAAGCACAATAAACAAATAATACATGCATAACTGGGAAAAGTTACTTTTTAAACTACAACTTTCATGCTCAGCTGAAATTCCCAATGATAATAGTGACTGGAAGATGCTGAAAGCGTATGTATAAGCACAGAAAAGAACAACAATTTGATGTTGTCTCTTAACACATCCAGTATGAGATAGCTATTCAGAATAATGTGTGTTTGATGTAATGTGATGCAGAACTGAATGCAAAATGGACCTTATTTAGGGAAAAAACATTTTTGGTAGGAAATGAAAGCCAAGGTAAATATTGTGGGCAATTGAAATAAATTAATATAATAAATCAGTGATAGTCAGTGCATGGATATAAAGCTCTAATAAATTACTAATGCTTTACCAACTAGTTTGAGTGTGTTTGCAAATTCATTTAAAATGTATATTATATTTAAATGACTCTTTCTCTATAACTCAGTGGGCTAAACATTAGATTAGAATCCTGTTTTTATTGCTTTCTTGAAATACTGAATACTATGCTAAACCATTCAAAACATATTCCCTTCTTTTCTGTGAGTTTCAGAATAATGTCACCTATTATTTCTGCATGCAAAGGAGGCCACCTGATTCACTGGGCTGGCCAGGTTACATGGGGCGGGGAGCTGGCAATCACCATGGGCCTCCCCCGCCCACTCGAGAGGCTGGTCAGCTCCCAGGGTCCACCAGGGTGGCTTGATGGCCTCTGATTGGTGAAACATGCTGGATAAGGTGTGGGACATCAGGTGGCAAAGCAGGACTACAAGTCTCAGTGGTCTCTGTGGTTGGAAGTCCTGCCCTTCTGGTCAGTTGGCCTCCCTGATTAGTTAGGAGGCCAGGGATGGTGGGACTTCTGCCCAGCGCTGAGACCCCATTGGCCAGTGGGCCTATGAAAGGTCATGTGTCTAAGGTGGCCATTGCCATTGCTAGCAAGAGTTCCAATGGGAAGGACCTCCAGCTGAGAGCTCTGCACTGCAAGCTGGAGATCCATCGAGAAAGAGCTCTGGCTGAGAGCTCTTGTGGTGGTGGCAGTGGTGGTGGCCACAGCAATGGAGTACCAGATTACTGGGGCAAGGGTGAGGAATGCCCTGTGACCCCAACAGGCATGGTGGATGCTTCAGCTACAT